TGCAGATGAGGCTATATCTGCCCCGGTTACGACCATTACCATTATAGTATGTACAATTTGAATGAATTTCACATCTTTTGAGGCAATCTTTGAGTAGTTTCCTGGTGTGTATCCATTCATTGTCTTCGACGTGTATGTTGATCGGTAATCCTATTTAGTAATCCCGAGTGTTTATATTACTGTAGTTTCGGCGTTTTACGTTGAGTGTCCTCAAAAAAATATGTGTATGAACTGTCATATTTGGACGAAATCAAAGTTTTATGGCATGTCCATTGGTGTCGAACTTATTGGAGATGGTAAGTTTATGATCACTGTATTATATTCTAAACTAAGTTCTTTGTAGGTTTGCATGGCGATAAGTTTACGTGGTGTTTCTACAAACAAAAGTATTCTAAACTGTTCTTTTTAGAGGTCCAGTAAAAATCATCTCTTACATGTACTGTACTTACAGGTATCTAGTGTTACTACAGGAGGAAACCTAAACTAAACCAAACTAAACTAAACTAACTTTATTTATACTGGATAGCTCTATCAGTTCTAAACTGTTCTCTCTGGAGGTCCAGTACAGGAGGAAACTTAAACTAAACCAAACTAAACTAACTTTATTTATACTGGATAGCTCTATCAGTTCTAAACTGTTCTCCCCTAGAAGTCCAGTAGGAGGAAACCTAAACTAAACTAACTTTATTTATACTGGATAGCTTTATCAGTTCTAAACTGTTCTCCCCTAGAGGTCCAGTAGGAGGAAACCTAAACTAAACTAACTTTATTTATACTGGATAGCTCTATCAGTTCTAAACTGTTCTCCCCTAGAGGTCCAGTAGGAGGAAACCTAAACTAAACTAACTTTATTTATACTGGATAGCTCTATCAGTTCTAAACTGTTCTCCCCTAGAAGTCCAGTAGGGGGAAACCTAAACTAAACTAACTTTATTTATACTGGATAGCTCTATCAGTTCTAAACTGTTCTCCCAGAATGTCCAGTAGAGGAGGAAACCTAAACTAAACTAACTTTATTTATACTGGATAGCTCTATCAGTTCCATAGAAATAATAGACATGTCTATTATTTCTATGATCAGTTCCCATTAAATGAAACTCGCAATGTTGCTCTTGTGCATCTCTTTTCACTTAGGTGTGTTGACGTTATTAAATCACGATGAGGAATACGTGTTTACGTTTCCAAATGCATATTGCAGGTATTATAAAGTGCTATTGTCTTGAGAGGTATTCATAGACCCTCAAAAATCCCGTTGAATCAAATCCGAAATTTTGAGATATTTAGGGGGATTCGTAGGGATTTTTAGGAACTTTAAGGAATTTTGGGGGATTTTTTCCAGGTGTAGGAAATGCATCTCTCGACTATCATTTGTTTTCCCGTAGATCAATACTAACTCATCCATGGCATGAGCTTGGTGGGAAAGTGAATATTTCATGTTCTAAGACAGGATTCAGTTCCTCAATAACATTTCATACCAAACCAATGTATGGCGGTATTCGAGATCAGATCACAGGCGAGGTCAAACATCTACCAAGTGGTCGGGTCGTATGTAGAATTAATGGACAGTGGACGGAAAAAATAGAAATGACATTTCCTGATAAAGGGGTTGGTTCTTTTTTTTTGGTTTTGTGTCTTGTCATTCATTTCTTTCATCATTTCGTCATTGCTTTCTCCTTGTAGTTATATTCCAAATTTTCCAAACATACCTACAGTGCTTACTTGCATTATTTATTTTCTTCGTCTACTCACCAGCCTACGCATCTTATCATATACCGCATACCATACCATACCATACCTTACAATACCATATCATACCATACACCTCTGCATAGCATACCATTAAAATAGCATAGCATACCATACCTTAACATACCATACCATACCCAATACCATACTATACCATACTATACCATGCTATAATATGCCATCCCATCTACACCATATCATATACCATACCAAAACATATCTTACCATGCAATGCTATCCATACCGTATCATACCATACGATAACATTTTCCATACCTTACCATGACATCCCATCCACACCATATTATATCATATACCATGCCAAAACATACCTTTAAACTTTTTCCTTGCAAGAGGTCCGGTAAGGGTCATCCTTTATTGATCGGGTGTTACTATACAGCCAATTCAAAAAAGGTTGTCTTTTACAAACCTTAAACATTTCCACACCTTACCATGACATCCCATTCACGCCATATTATATCATATACCACACCAAAACATACCTTACCATACAATAACAACATAACGTGACATACCATACCTTATTATGTAGTAGAGAGTGAGATCCTGAAAAATACACGGTGATATATTTTCCATATCTATTACGTGACTTTTAGTACAGTATTTACACAATTTTTTGCTTGGGACTATATAATAAACAGAACATTGCACGGTGGCTTGAAAATATGACTTTATCTTCTCGTGTTAAAAACAATATTTTACTCACTCGCTGCGCTTGTTCGTAAAATATTGTTTTCACCACTCGAAGATAAAAGTCGTATCTTCGCGCCGCCGTGTAATATCCTTTATATATCATACGATAACATATCCTACCACAACATACCTTATCGTACCATACCATACCATACCATAACAAGCCATACCATATCTTACCATACCTTACGATACGATACCATACCATACCATACCATACCATACCAATCACACAATCTACCTACACTTTCATGGGTACATTAAACATTTCTGGGCTTACTTCAACTCCCACAGTATTTGCAAATTATCATACCTTGTTATTCTCATAACTTATTCTCTGTAGGTACAACAAGTTAAAGTAATGGAACCGAACGTAATGAAAAAGACGTGTAAAAATCTACGACCTGTATCATTACAACACGACAATGAATCACGCAAGTAAGACCTATTCCTGTCTAATAGTTTTGTTTGTGGAAACACCACGTAAAAAAATTTACAGGCCTTACCTACAAACATGTATAAAAATAACGCTAAATGTGCACGTTTGAAACGTAAACAAACGTTGAAGTACTATTTAAAACATGAGCAGCAGTGTTTTATTTGATATAAAGATACGAGGCGAAGCCGAGTATCTTCAGGTCTGATAAAAACACTGCGAATGTTTTAAATTGCTTCAAAAACGATCGATCTAGTAAGTTCATTGGCGAAGTAATTTTCAAAAAATACGTTGTGTAAGTCGAGAAAATCAAAGTTAAAGTTTATGCAAATCAACGCAAATCTCTATCGCATATAAAGATAACGACACGCTTGTGATTTTACTTTGTGTTTTCCTCATGAATTATTATTGAGTTTTTGAGAAACTTTTGCAGTTGACGGTTGCTTGGAAATGGTAGTAGTTTGAACTGGATATTCATTCGTTTTTCAGATTATGGAATCATGTAACAGAGGCGGTGAGACAGGACGATATAAATAAGGCTGCCGAGGAAAAACACAAGGTAGTTTTCTGGAAATGTAAATTTCCTGATTCTCAGAAATTCCAATACAAATATGTGGTACTATATATAGTATTACTACTTTTTACTACTTCATGATGTCCGAAACGTTTTCCCCTGCAAGAGGTCCAGTAAGGGTTATCTTTCATTGATATATATATGCTTGAAAGAGCATCACAAAATTAGTAGTATTCCAAAGTTTCGTTGCGAAATGTTGTAACATGCGGATAATATATAGCCCTGCGAAGTTTGCCGTTTTTCAGTCATTTTAGATTACAAACGGGAAATTGATACCGCTTTCTGAAACGGCAAACTTCGCAAGGCTATATTATCCGCATTTTACAACATTTCCCAACGAAACTTTGGGATATTACTAATTTTGTGATGCTCTTTCAAGCTGTGATGAATTTTTTGTCTAGACTTGTCTAGATCAAAATTTTGTTCATTAGTAGGGAATAGGTCCTCTCTCCTCCGCAGAGGCTTTAGTTTTCTTAGGATTTAATATTACGATGAGATACATTTCACTAGGAATATAGGTCCATTAAATGCAACGGTAGTGCATCGTATGAAACGAATTAAATTCGTCTGATGAATTAAATTCGTCCGTTTCATACGACGTCGTATCGTGTCTACATTACGACAGCATCCATTCAGATAATTGTTGTTCTTACAGCTTGAAGAAAGTCAAAGGTTAGAGGCCAAACAGCGAGAAGAATCTGGTACGCCATGGAAAACAAAGGTTTGTTTTCATTCAAAGGCTTTACCTTTCACATTTTATGTTATCTACCGGGTGCTCCCCCCCCCCCAAAAAAAAAAAAAAAAAAAAACCCAACAAAACTGGACACTGTTAGATTTCATGTAACGTAAAAGCTATAAAAGCTATCGGAATGAAATAAAGATCATAGCATTCAGAAAGGACTAACTTAGATTTTCATATATAGCACTTGAATTTACATGCAATATTGAGCGAGATACAACTGTTTGAATTTGGAATGCGTTTTAGGAATTGGTGAAAACTAGGTAAAAATTTGCTAATTATAACGTTGTTTTATGCTAATTTATGGCATTTTCAAAAACAGTAGTTCAACGTTCAAACATCAATAGCGCAGTCAATATTGCATGTAAATTCAAGTGCTATATATCAAAATCTAAGTTAGTCCTTTCTGAATACAATGATCCTTACTTCATTGTGATAGCTTTTATAGCTTTTACATTTTATAGCTTTTTATAGCTTTTCTATGATAATCTATATACAAAGATACCCCGGTTAAGATACCCCGGTTTCGGTGTACGGGTACGAGTAGTGTCATCTTGTTTTACTGATATCTGTAATTCGATCATACTTTTTCTGTTTTCTTACAATAGACAATGATATAATGCGAAAAATGTGCACCTTAATTCCGAGTAAAGGTACAGACATCGACGAAAATATTGCTAACCGAAATCATGCTACTCGTACCCGTACACCGAAACCGGGGTATCTTAACCTCTGTATTCTCTGGTAGCCACTTGAGCGACTAAATTTATTTTTTTTAATTTCGACCCCTCCGTATGTTCTATAGTACTTTCTGGCACTCATAGTTTTTTTGGTTTCACAGTTATTCCATGAGCACGGTGAAAAATGGCTGTACAATAATCATCTGAGCTTGCGAAGAAAACGCTTGCATAGCGCATCAAAGAAAAGACAAGATAAGCCGAAACCCACGTGACCAACGGGTGACAGAATTTTAGTCCACTAATTTAAAATACCATGATCAAACCACCATCGAATAACCAACTGCGATATTTTACTCTTGATGTGGGGTAGCCTGCGTGACAGGCCTTCAGTTTTATGGGGCTGATTTGCAACGGGCAGGATTTTGGCGGGCACGGGGGAGGATTAAATCCTCCCCTGCCCGCCAAAATCCTGCTCGCTGCAAATCAGCCCCCCCCCCCATAAAATTGAGGGCCTGCCACGCAGGCTAGACGTGGGGTTGCTAATTTTTAGACAGCGAGCTCTATAATATTTTAGAAGGGTTTTGTAAATGGATATTTGTACATTTATTAGGGACCGCTGTCATCATTTATGGCGAGGGGTGGCACCGAAGGGTTGGGTAAACAACATTTTGAGTGAGTAAAAGGTTGGGTAAATGAAAAGCAAAATAACTAAGGGTTGGGTAATAAAAACTTATCGTCATTTGCAAAGCATGACTCGCTCAAATATTGCAGATTAAAAACTAATTTATTTTTTTTTATCCGGTGTGGATATACACTCAGAGTAACATCAAAACATAAAAAAAACCCAATTTGTTTATGTCAACACAATATGTAAATCAATCAATCAGAGTCACTATATATCTTGATAATTTTCCGATTTGCCAGAAGGCAAATGGTGTTTCCAAATAAAGTACATGTGCAGACAACATGAAACTTTACACTGCAGAAAATTGCACAAGCAGTTATCAAAGTAAAGGACAATTTGTGATAACTGAATGGTATCCTTTCGTAAAGTTTTTGGCCAGGAATGTGTATTTATGTTTTAATTGATATTCAATGTTCATTAAAAAAGATGTTTAATTTTTAATGGTTGGTCGGCAAGATTTAGCAAGAAACACATTTTTCTTCGGTGCCACCCAAGGTTTGGTTTAATAAATTTATAAAATTCACACTGGAAATTTCCATATCTGAAAAACCCTTCTACAAATTAGTTTTATCGAGCGACGTGCCCAAACTGATCCTGGTATCAGCTCTACAGTAGAATATATCTGGATTTTCGGTTTTGAACGCATCGCAAATATGTGACATTGAAAAAAATTGCCTCTTAATATGTTCACTTATTGAAATTCATATAGCAGTGTTTGAAGCAAATTTTATCCTCCAGTTTTGAGTTGGGACTTGGGGTTAGGGGATATATTGGGGATGTAGGGTTATAAGATTGGAAGATCAAAGACAAAGAAAAGAAAATACTGTATTCATTCATTCATTCACGAAACATAACGATATTACCAGGACAAGGCCGTCGGAAGTAAATTAATATTGGGGGAGGGGGCTCAAGAATAAATCTGAATTGCTTTCGCTCTTCTTTTTTGTGTTTTGCTTACACAATTATACAAATGGAAATTATTGCCCCCCCC